GTTGCAAAACCATTCCTAGATACGAATCAAATAAATAATCCATGTTTTACTTGCAGTTTCAAACGTTCTCGCGGTGTTTCACCGCTCGCCAGTTGCCTGATGCGTCGTTCCCACACAATTTGACGGCGGTGCTGTGACGCCGGCGGTGGCCGTCACAGGCTGACGGTCCGTCATCAGCCGGTGGCAGCTGGGGCATTCCACGATAGATCGTACCAGGCCCGTCACCCTCATCTCTCAGATTTTAATGAAAATCGGTCCTAGGGGTAATCATAGGCCCCAAAGACGCCTGGCAAAATATCAGACTTCTCAGATCAAAACTTTTTGAGTTATATTGCATTACATTTTTTGAACTTCGGTATGTAACGGTGAGTTTGATGGCCTATAACTCAAGAACGGGTTAAGCAACCAACAAAAAGTAAACAACACTAAGCTTGCGATGAATCACAAATTAATATTACTATTTAAAAATTCCAAAGAAAAAATTTCATTGTTGAGCAAAAACCTTAATCTTTTTTCATTTGCCTCTAATGACTTTTGGGACCAAAATTTTTCACATTTTTATTTTTTCAAAATAATGTTCATGTCATTGCAAATCGACATGCAAAAAATTAGAAAGGTGTTCTTTCTCTAAGTTCCTCATTTTCCCGCAAACAAAATGGGTTTCGGAGGGGTTGATACGACCCCAGCACGCCGTTTCGCTTCTAATAGAGCTAGAGCCTCGCGGGAAAAATGGGCGTGTGTGCCGTTACAAGTCGCAGCGATTGGTACCCGATTTTAAGGTCTCAGGTTAACCGGTAGCGTCTGAGGTCAGGTCACGTGACTGAAGTTACGGGTTCGGTTTTTTAGTAAATAACTTCGCAAAAATGGCCTTAGAGCCGCGATTTTGGCATCATTGTGTTCGCCTAGCTCAGGTGCATCGAATGGTATACTTTTTGCTAGGGTGAGGTCAACTTAAGTAGTTGACCTCGGGTCAAGGTCAGGTCAGAGCCCCTCAGGTCACGAAGCTGGGCAAAGGGTATCATATGGCATATCATTCGATTCGGAAGGTCTTCCCGAGTCCATTGGTGGCTTTCCCGACTCTCTAGCTCTATTTGATCGGGAGTTATTGACGAAAAACTCGTACGACCCTAGTGACGTCATAAATGACGTCACGCAAGGTTAACAATGCAAAAGTAAAGCATTGGACTTTGCAAGGAGTGCATGAAATCACGATACCATGTACGTGGGATAGTTTTAGATCATTCTCGGCGCCAAAATAAGTTTTTATATTTCCCCATTGATTTATAACAGTGATGTCACGTGACCGACCTGACCTCATGTAACCTTGAAAATTCCCAGATATACAAGTTGTGAGACCTCTGGAGGACACCATGTATGCGTCCTGTAACTTTCATCTCAGACAGCTATGGTCATTGGCGTCCAAAACAATGTCAGAACCAAACAGCCTTTTTCACCCTCGCGCTTATAGGAAAGAGGGTTGAATGAACCCTCTTTTCACTTTTTCAGATGACTCAGACTTGAATTGAAATTTCAGTAACCCGTGATGTCACTAGGCAGCTTTACCACGCCATTTGTAAGCTCCCCTCCCGAAATTACTATTCGAAACCGTTATCGTGACGTAAAATAAATACATTTATAGAAAGAACACCTTCCTAATTTTTCGCATACTTCTTAACAATGAGCCAAATATTTTTTTTAAAGAAATAAAAATTCAAAAAAATTTGGTCCCAAAGTCCAAAAAATACAAATGAAAGAAAACTCGATATGTCATATATCAAAAATAGCGTATTTTTCGAAATTTCAAAAATACATATTAATCTCTGTTTCATCGCAAGTTCAATGTTATATAACATTTGGCATTTGGTCTTTGAGTTACAGCCCGCCAAACTTAGCGCTGCAAAGCAAGATCCAAAAAATGTTATACACCATAACTTAAAAAATGCTTATCTGATAAGCCTGAAATTGTTACAGGTGGATTCAGAGCCCCTGATTACCCCTGAGACCAATTCTCGTCAAATTCCGAGAGATGAGGGTGTCAAATTGGAAAAAAGTGGTACGATCTATCGTGGAATGCCCCAGCTGTCAGATGACGGCCGTCATCAGCGGCGACCTCTTATGACAGCTGTCAGCTGGCTACCGTCATCGAGCCAGGGCCGGCCCGGTCCCACAGACCGACCGGCGGCACTCATTTGGGTACGCCCATCTTGATATGAGAAGACTGCACATTTTTGTGCGCGTCGCATTTGCAGCGATTGCAGAGCGGCGATCAATAAGCCCCGGCGCGGGAGAAAAATGCGCGCGCCGCCGCTCGTTGCCGGCGTGCCGCTCGCCCGCACTCGCCGTCGAGCCGCTCGCCGGCGCCATCTTGGCCGGTGATCGATCGAGACAAACGGTGCAAAGGCAAGACGCCGACGACGGAGGGTGGGGCGAGTGGCAGAGGACGAGAGCGCAGACGGTAGAGGAGTGAGGAAGCGGGCTGCCACTTGCGCGGAACAAGGGAAAGATGAAATGGAGGAAGGGACTGAACAGTGAGCAGGTTTGCATAGAAAGATAGCATTAATTGTTCAGGCGAATTAAGTGAATGAATGTGCAAAAATATAAGAAAGTTATGATAACTAAAATTTGCATAATGCTTGGAGCTACTCGCTAATCAAATGATAAGTCTTAATCTCCTATGGTGCCTTTGACTTTTCGAGCCAGCCGATTATCGGAGAAATGAACTACGACATTCAGCCATATCATTGTGCGACTGGCGGTCCACATATGCGCCGCCTCTGCCGCAGCTGTTTTTCGTCACCAGTGTTACTTTCTATGGCAGAAATTCATATGCCGCCGTACAATGCACACTTTTCGAAAGCCCATGTGTGTGTGTGTGTGAGAGGGTAGGGGGTCGCAGCTGCGTCATAAACCAAAAGAATGGTAAACGTGATATGAAAGTGATAAGGGTGATAAGGTTAATGAAATGACTCCACACGAACACTCTCGACCGATAAGTTTTTTTTTTTTTTTAGGGAGCAAGGGTTGATAAACTGGCCTCACTATAACTGATTTCCTAGTCAGCTCTGGGTTGTCCATTACAGTTGCTTTTATTGAATTTTCCGAGCCTCACGATCAAATTTATTGAGGTGTCACGATAGGACGATATTTTTGATAGGCATGAGTAAAATATGAATCGACATGTGTTTACGTAGGTATGTACATATGTATACTGTATAGGGAGAGTGGGTAAAATAATGGTATATCTGGTGTATGCCCACTAGTGATGTCATTTTCCAAAAAATGTCTGACCGATACCGACCGAAACCAAAATTTGGGAAAAATTTCCGACCGAATACCGACCGATAACATCCCAAGCCAAAATTTGACCGAAATTTGACCGAACCTCTATTTGCTATTACTCTACCTCAAAATTTAAATATTTGGTAAATTCTGATGGAAAATAATGGGAAATGGCATTTCAGTCCAAGTTCATTCAATTCTTAGCCACTGCAAAATACATATTGTGGTAGAAGTTACATTGCTGAGGGTAGCAACACATGGACCTCACCATTTCACAGATTTAGTTGATTAGAATTGTCAAGAATCTACTGTGGTCTATGTAAGGAAGAATGCTCATTCATGTTGCAAAAGCACGATCTATTAGTATAGTCAAATGGTTGGTAATAGGGATGTTCATGACAACATTCCCTAGGAGAAAAGGCGGAATCAAAACACCACAAAACTCATCAAAACTGCTTGGAAACTTGCCTTGACTCTTGAGATGTGGTCTGAGATACTCTACAAATAATTTGACACTGAAAATCCAGCTGAAAAGGCAGGTATTAGGTAGCTCTGAGCTTGAATTTTGTCCCAAAAATGAAATGAAAATTCATTACACAGGCACTTTGTCTTATCTCTTGTTTGTCTTATCTTTACAAGAAAACAAAATATGCAGACAAAATTAATACCTACAAAGTGGCGCCAAAGTGGCGCAAAAAGTAATAGAAGAACCAAGGATTGGCTTATAAGATCCTCTCTTCCGTAACGAAAGGATGTATGTTGATGACGTAATATTTATTTATATGCCCTTTTGGTCGAATTATTGAAGGGAAATTAATTTTCTTGTAGTGAATTACACTCACAATGTTGATTTCATTAGAATTCAATATCGTGTTGGATCATTTACATCAATAAAATAATTCACGAGGCTAACAATCCAAAACTTTTTTTGCAGCAACTTTATCAGCTGGTTTAAAGTCTCTGTTATGGCGCACGTGTTTCGAAATCCTTCCTTGTGTTTGGAATGTGGAAGATTCCAGAAATCGGACATGAGCCGATGTAGTTTTTGTCAAGATTCCTATGTTTTTATGTTGTGGTCATCTAGATTTCAAACATTTGGTTGAAACCTGCAATATTTAAGGAGAATGTGGGAACACCTGTGAAATGTAAATGTGATCACTGCTAAGTGCTAAGTGCTAACTGTCCAGTCTTCAGAAACACATTTCAGTAATTCAAGTTATTTTTGTCCTTGCTTGCATTTTTGATGACTGTATTATGATTTTTGTAGGCAATACTTTTTTGATTACAGGTGAAATTTTAACAGTTAGACTGGAATATAGTTTCAAAATTGTGTGTACTTCTGGGGCCAACTGAGTCAATATCAGCCTGCTTGTAATTGTGGTTGGACAATGGGTGGCTGCTGCCTGCTTGGTGGGTTGGCTAATGAAGTTGCCAAAATGTGGCATTTGGCATTTGGGGGAAATTTTGCAACTCAATCATTAACATTCCAATAAAGTTCATTTTAACTAGGCAAAAATGGAATACTTTCACTTTTTGAAAATGGTTTCACTGGCAGGGTGACCGAAAGTGTCCGATTTTTGGGGGGCCTGACCGACCGATTACCAAATCGGTCAGCATATGTTTTCGGTAACCGAAATTTTCGGTAACCGATTGACACCACTAATGCCCACCAATCCATGGCTGGGGTGCCCCCGCCCCGACCGACCCATCACCGAACTTACCGTGCAGGCCGGGGCCCATGCCGAGCGAGCTCATGTCCTCGTGCTGGCTCTTCCTCTTGCGCGGACGGCCCTTCTGACCAACCGCCACGGGCGGGATGTAGGGTATCTGCTCGGTGGGTGAGAACTGCACAAAGTCGGGCACGGGCCCGGCCCCGGCGTACTCGCCCGTCAGCAGCAGCTCATAGTGGTGTCGGCAGTAGATGTAGCCGTCCCGCATGCCAAACTGACGACAAAAAGGCAGAAGATATTGACAATTAAGCGTTGAGAGCGCAGCATCGCTGTTACATGACACCTATATATGAGACGAGTCGCATTGTAGACTGTTCCTCATTCAAAATTGAATCAAAGAAAGACAATATTTATTTGACAAATAATAGCAGGGACACGTATAGTTTTGATAGAGATTGCTGATCAAAGCAGGCAACAATAAAACTATTTGGTAATTCAAGCGGCATCAAAGCGCGAGCCGTAACATTGTCTGTAGCGACGGCCAACGAGCGGATGCACCGATACCTCTAGTTGCTCGTGGGGAATATTTGCGTATTCTGCATAACTATGTCCTGCACGAGGCTGGTGATGAAGAGGTAACGGCTGCCGACAAAATACCACGCGGTGCGACCGGCTCTGACAGATCCTATCAGCAGCGTACCCGAGCGGCCAGCATTGTCTTGGCTGGCCGCAGCAGCCATGCATGTACCTTTTTCACGCTCCAGTCACGGCACAACACGGCAGTGCACTGTCTCTGCGGGCTGTGGCCACAGTCCAAGCGACCCAGTCCAGCAGTTGTTGAAAAATATTGTGCGAGAGCCGGGTAATGATGCGGTTTTGGGGGATCTAATAACCAGGACACCTCGAGTTGTCGTAGATGACATTTGTGCATCGCGAACAAGACTCCTGCGTGTAGATCCGTTTGCCCGTTTGCACTACTTGCTTCATATGACCCAGACGCCTCCATTGCCGAGATAAAAACCCAATTTATCAGAGTGACTTGCGCGTCCTTCATAGCGTGTGTTGAACTGCACGTATCGTGCAGCCCTTATGTCTTTCGGTAGGGTCGTGCAGAAATGTGTATGGTGCAATGGGTTGTGGTACAGCGGAACAGCTGCAATGCATCATCCGTTTTCGCCAATAACACGGATTTCAAGGAAACGTGGGCATAACCGATGCGTCGGTTTATAATTTTGCAGTGTGACACCGTAATTTAATTGATTCGTAAATATGATAAGCAAGTAGGTACCAAACTATAAGAAATATGTACAAATGTAAAAATGTAAATGTGTAGGTTATGTAAAACGCCTCGCATTAGGGTGTCGCTCACGGTAACCTCATGTGCCAGGTTTTGCTCATTAGAACCTTCCAGCACCGAAATAAGAAAGGCATTCTCATGGCGTGGTGGCTGAAGGTTTCCGTGAATCGCCTACTGTTTCCGAGTTTACGACATAATGAACACTATGCAAGTCATAAACACGAGGGAAAGAGCGCGGTCCTAGCCCGCGTCATGGCGGCCGTCCAGACAACCCGAACTCTGCACGTGGGCCTTTTAGGTCTAACAATAGCGCAGGCTGCCTCTGTTACCTAAAGGAAAATGTTTAATTGCTTAGTGTCCAAGAGACAACAGTTAGTAACAACCTTGAAGAAATATGCCGTAATTTACCCATTTTTTATGCGAAAAAAGATACACAGTTAACTTCGTCGACATGTCCGTAAGCCGAATGACAGTTTGAAAAATTCTCTTTTTGATAAAAAAGTGCCAGAGCATTCCTTCCAAAGTAAAACAGAACACATTCTTCCATCCTTCAGCCAAATTGCACACATTCCAATGCAGTCTATAGCCTGCATTATACTATAGTGCACGAGATCAGCTACATGAGGGAATGCTCTCTGATTCCCAGATGGAGAAAAGCTGCGCTGATTCGTACCGAGAACTCCCACGTCAGCGTGCGCCGCTGCCGCCAGAGTCGGAAGGACGCTGCTCTGTGACCGATCCGATAAACTCATCTGGACTCGGGTACTCAGCTGATGAGGTCCTCTTGAGAGCGGTCATGCATCTATGCATCATGCATTTTGATACTGAGGGCGGCTACAAGTCCAGCCTAATATAGGTCTGCTGAGGGCGGAACAAGGACCATTTCTCTATTCTACACGAACTAGTGGTGTCAATCGGTTACCAAAATTTCGGTATACCGATACCGAACCAAAACCGATTCGGTATTCGGTATGATATACCAAAAGCATTTGGTATTTTGTCGGTATCATGAAAATCAACTACTGCCATAAAAGATTTGAAAGCATTTTTGATAAACCTTCTGAACTCAAAATTGATTTGCTAAATGACACTGGATGAAGAAAAAATGGCAATCATGACACATTTCTCCCAAATGTATGATGTCCTAACAAATGGGCAAACACATGAGCTGCAATATCAAATACATCAGACCACCAATGTTAAATGGCAACTTATCAGTTATCAGTGTTAGCAAATTCCAATACCATGAGGATAATTATCTTACAAAGAAAGCCAATGTGCAAGACATGAACATGAATTAATGTTTTACTCACTGTATGCTGGAAAACATACTTTAACTGCCTTTCTCAAAATTTCCAAAGCATTTATTAGCAACAAAATTGACTTTGTTTTGAGGAGTCTGTGATTGATCTTGACCTTGTCTTGCTCTCCATTTCACTGCAATGCAATTACATTATCCAAAACCCTGTTTAATACAGCACTAGATTCACCATTATCATCTAATATTGAAGGCAGCATTTGTCACTTCATCATCATCCCACAAATCTTCAACTTCGCTCAACTTCAAAAGCCTCTGTAGTGAGCGATCCTGTCGTGATCCTGTGGATAATTTATTTTCTTCAATTAGTGTTCTCTTTCCTGCTCACCTCAACAGATACAGATCGCTAGCAATGTTATCATAAGCATTAATAAAATATAATTGGTTTTTGGCTTGATTCGCACACAGCAGTTTCAAAACTGAACACATCTAAAAACATTTCAATGTCGCAGCTGCGCCAAGTACCGATGTAGCTCAATAGTTAATTGAAAATAATTGAACAACTTTGTTTTTCTGGTACTTCATTTTTCAGCAAAAACGGCCTACAAGCTTTTTTGAATTAATTTTAAGATGTCAAAATTTATACAAGTAATTTTGATTTAAGTGGACTTAAGGAAAAGAAAAGAAAAACTTTATTTTATACAGCTTAATGCAAATGGCCGCCGCCTCTAAGGCCGCGCCATTATGGAAGAGATGACACGTGACGTGTGTCAATGCTTCCGTAAAATTATGGACATTTTACTTAGATTTCATCGCGATATCATTACAGTGGTGTCTGCTATCTATCAGTGTGCCTCGTAAGTAATCATTTATCAAGTTTTGTTGTGTTAAACATTTGTTTATGAAGAAAAATTGGCTGCGTCAGTATCGTCACCAATCACCATGCTACTTGGGTTGAACGGTTGAACTGTAGGTATCATGGGTTTTGTTTACATTAATGGTGTAGCCCAAGGTGTAGCTCATCATTGTCAATGGGGTCACCACTTTTGGATCATGATAACACACTTAACCCTGTCTTGACCGGACTCGAAATGAATGACTGGAATTGAAAGAACGTTTGTTGGTTCAGGCATGGACAAGTTATTGTTCTAACACCTTATGCAGATGACTTGAATCCACATTCCAGTTAAATAACTGACCTGAATATTAATAGTTACAAAATACAGTTATGAATGTTTTTTTTTGCAGTGCAAATAGTTAAGAGGTTGCCTGATTTGTTTTTGTTCCCTTATTTTAAAGTATTAGATACCTTTCAAGGCTAATCATATGTCTTGAGAAAGTTTAAAGCACATGTCTGATAATTCGCTGATTTCGGTATCTAGTCGGTATTTCCCCCCTATTTCTGAAAATCGGTTCGGTTTTGGTATACTCTCAGTGGGTTTGGTCGGTATCGGTTTGGTATTGGTTTCCAAAATTTCTGAAATTGACATCACTAACACGAACCCACGATCCGTCTGGTCACCTTTTGAGAGCGCCCCCAGACCTACCCGATCTCCTTTGGAGAGTGGCCCAGACCCACCGGCTCGCCTTCGGAGAGCGGGCCCAGACCCACCTGATCTCCTTTGGAGAGTGGCACGTTGCAGGTGATGCAGGTGAAGCAGTGTATGTGGTAGACGTAGTCCTTGGCCCGCATCACCAGCTCGTTGGAGGAGATGCCACCGTGACATCGTTCGCATCGCTTCAGAGAGAATAGCCTGTCGAAACAGAGATGGTATGTGAGTGAGACGCGAAAGCACTGGAGAATCAAAGACGGAAACATGGAGACGTAGATGGAGACAAAGAGACGGAGACAGAAACGGAGAGACGGGGGACGGATATATGGAGAAATAAAGACGGAGCGACGGAGAAATGAGATGGAGAAAGGAGAAAGACATGAGTGTGGAAAAAGAGAAGGCAAAAATTACGGAGACGCGAGGAGACAGAAACGACCACAGACATGGGCACCGAAAAAGAGATGTAGATGTAGACGGAGAGACGGAGACGAAAATGAAATGAAACGCTGTATGACATAGGAATCCCAGGAGACGGAGACGGGTGGAGCAGGACGCAAGGAAGTACCGATTCACGCAGCATTTGGTAAGCGACGGCGTCAGCGACGGAGACGGAAACTGAGACGGAAGGTGTAGAGCACCGTGTGAGTCACAGATTTGGGAGACGGAACTGACCCGAATGACATCACGATTCTTATGGCCAGCCTGGTTGTAGATTAGAGCGATAGATTATCGCTGCGGTAGTGGTTCCCGCTCGGCCGAACGTTATCAGTCTTATGAATCATTGTACAGCAAAAGTTCATGCACAATGCTATTAACTCGCACTGCTGCCGAAAAATCCAGGCTCGTGTATACCTACACGAGCCGCCGACTAGCCGCGCTTTCAGTTTCAATTAGCCGCTACATGATTAGATGCACGTGCAGCGCTCGCCGCTTCCATCGACCGGCTAATCACTAATCCGCGGCACGTGCATGGCACGTGCGCCGGCCAATTAAAGTGGCTGATTTTAGTCACCTGATACTGCAGAGATTGTGGCACATACATAGGTACAACTAATCGCGCTTCCCACGCAGAGAGACAGATAGACAGACAGACATACAGCCAGACACACAGACAGACATACATACAGAAGACAGACAGACAGACATACACGCCGTCACGCCGCAGACTGCCGTGTCACACGTCACGTCACGGTCGCGATATGGCCGTCACACGTCCGGGCAGCCGGTGGGAGGACCGGCTCTGACCGTATCTCAGTTCTGCGAGGCGCAGATGGCAGCGTGACGCCTCAGAGAGTCTGATCTCTGTTCAGCCGACACTCTGAACCTGAGACAACACCAGATAGCGTCGGCGGACCGTGTCGGGACCGGTGGTCCGAGCCGCCGGGACCAGCGACATGGTCCTGGTCTGGCCGGGACGCCGCGCCGGCCCGACAGACGGCTGGCTGCACCGCCGCCGCCAGGAATGGCAAAAAACGCGCACCGCGCTGCCTTGCGAGTGTCATTTTTGCTCGCCAGGCGACAGCTCAGCGACTTAGCGCTCAGTTTTCGGGCCCGGGTGATTTCCTGGCCGCAAAACAATCGCTTGCTGACAGCTCGGACCGAGCCAAACATAGGCCTGGCCAGTGTTTTATCGAGTGGACACGCGTCGTGACGGCGAGTCGCAGCGGGCAGCGGCCGCAGCCGGTCCGCGTTTTGGCACGGCGAACAGATGAAGTCCATCAGAGGTCTGAGCCGCTGGACGGGCGGCCCTGGCCACACGGCATATTTGCTGCGGAAGCATGGCCATACGGACGCACTACCGCGGATTACTAGCAAATTAGCTTCAACAAGGCAAGGTAACATCTGTCAGCCCACTGGCTATTTGGTGCAGATGTCGGTCGTTTAAACTCATTTTCTCTAAATTCCCGGTAGTGCAGCTGATTGGATAATGGCTAACCAGGTTTACCTGGGTAAAAACATGCTGCTAAAAATTAAGAGGCCGTATAAAGGCACGCTAAACATGTTTTAGATAGATAGCAGATCGGCTAGTGCTTTATTGTTTGGTATTGGAAAACGGCAGTCAAAAGCCTGCCTCGCACGTCTTGTCAGCGCAATTTATATTCGTTTTGACAGGCTCGGTGGTTTTGTGGCTAGTGTGATGTATGCCTGGTACGTCTCGGACAACAATGCCTGTCGTGATCTCGTAAGTCCTCCGTGCGTCATTGCCGAACAATGCTCAGTTATTTCACTGCTGAGGATTGCAATATTAACCCTCGCATGTGTAGGGGGGGGGGGGTCGGATGGACCCCCCCCCATGGTTTTTCGCGAATACCTCGCGTAAAAAGCGGCCGATCGCGACGAAACTTTCAGTACCCTCGCATTGATCAATTTTACACCTACCCTGAAAATTTCATGACCCTGACCCAAATGACCTTTGACCTGTGACCTCTTTTCCGAGACCATGTTTGGCCGGAATCGCGATTTGGCGTACGTCGGCTCGCATTAGCCGCGCGTTTGCAAGCTTTTCGTGGTTTCAAACGTTCAAACATGTGATTTGATGTTGCTCCCATGCATTAGGGTGGGTGTCAAGGTCACCTGAAGGTCAGGTCAGGTCATTGACCTTTGGTGACCTCGGGTGACCTCAGTTCACTTTTTCGAGTTTTACATGTTTCTAGGCTAGTTTTTGGAGCTGAATTCGAATTTAGCAGCCATTTGAACATTTACGAAGTAGTTTTGGTGCCTTCGTAACATGTTGCGAAGCTGTCAGAGGCGGTTGACACGTACTACGAATATCCGTCACGACGCCTACTGGTTGACCTGACCTGACCTGACCCGACTTGGTCTAAATGCTTAAAGACATCATCTGTGATCAAAACTAACACGATATTCGTGATCAGCACCCCGAAAAACCCCTTAGCAGCCACACTTTACGACTTTCTAATAGGTCCCGATTTTCCCGACTTTGGGTCATTGACCTGACCTGGAAGGTCAACCAATGACCTAGGACCTTAAAATTGGATATCATCGGCTTCCTCTCGTCACGGGCAACACGCTCGTTTTTTCCGCGAAGCTCTAGCTCGATCAGGGGCCAAACGGCAAGGGGGGGGTCCAACCGACCCCCCCCCTACACATTAGAAGCTGGAAAACGCCGCACACATGCGAGGGTTAATATAAGATTGCAAATTGTTACTGGTCGGGGCCCTAATGAAACGTTCTGCTTGCCCCTCTAAAACATATCCTTCCAGTGAATCAATAAATAAACAACAAGCAACTTTGGGGTGTGCTACTCGCTTCAGTTTGACTTTTGATTGTTTCAAGTTAGAACCACCGCCAATGCCTGTGGCTGTCGGTTTTCACACGCCCCATTATATCAAAACATCACAATGTCTCCGCGGTTCCCAATTACTAGGAAATGTATTCAGCGCGATCGGTGTGGCGCGTTTTAGCACAAAAGCCCGGTTTTAGTGTGGCTGACGGGTGCGGACGGGTGCCCGCTGCTCCCCACTGGGCGCGCTGCCACAAATTGCTGCCGTTGGCGACAGTTACGCCGCTCCATGCCGAGTTCGCGGCATCCAACGGCGCGCTAGTGGTAAATGTAGCGCTTTAGAAATTGACGCAGCGCTGCTTTTCATAAACGGTTAGAAAATAGCGGCCATTGCCAGTCAATTTCACCAGCTCTTTCCCACGAGCTGCAGTCTTCCCTCTCTGTCCTCATAAGCTCGTTAGCCATAGTTCAGTCCACCCCAAATGACGGCCCAGTCCAGTCCACAGCTCGTCAGTCCGCCCTACAGCTCACTCCCCCACAGCTCAGTCCGCTCCAGTTCAATCCACCCTCAGTTCAGTCCTGCCCACAACCCGGTAAGCTCCTCTCATCAGCTCAAGGCCCATCCCACAGTTCTCTCTCCCGTGCCCACCACCGAACACGCACCCTCCCTCCTTGAGAAGCGCCGGAGGCCGCACCCGTGCCGTGCCAGCGGGGTGCCGGCTGCTTACAATTGATGACACCACCGCCTCCCGATCGGTAGTCGGCGCGCCGGTAACCCGCTGGTAACCCGCTGGTAACCGTCGGTAACCCGCTGCTAATTAATGACACATCAGGCGTAATTTGCTTTGTAATGACACGGACCACCGCGGTTTGGACCGCCGGGGAGTCGCTGTGGTCTGGTCCGAGGACCGCCGACCGGGCGAGCTGTGGTCTGGTCCGAGGACCGCCGGGGAAGCGAGCTGTGGTCTGGTCCGAGGACCGCCGACCGGGCGCTCAAGGGCCGACAGAGACTGCAGCCCGAGAGTGGCCGACGTCCGTCCAGCTGCAGGGTGGGGCTACCGCACTGAGAGCTATAACAATTTTAAGGTAACTGGAGAATCGGGAGATCAATGATTGCTGGGTTTCCAGATGCGACCGTAATCGTAGTGCACAATTCGGGAAACAACGATTCAGAATGCAAACGCCGGGCGCATTGAATCATCCTCACAAAAGTTGACGAGCGTTGCCATTACGAAATACTTCACATTTCTAAGCGCATTCATACTCGTAAGCAAAGATAAATCACGCAACTGTAAAATACCTGCATGATTTATAACAGCAATTAAATATTATTGAATCCACAGACTGTGCAGCAAGTACCTATTTATCATCAATTTCGGACGCTATCGCAACTGTGCCTGCCCCATCCTGTTTCAGCCATGTCTCGAGTCGTCTCTGTTCGTCCCCGATCTCTGCCGACCCGACTCACAGAGCTCCGGTTCCCGGTCCCGCTCCGTCCCAGCTAACTTCGGACACGGTACGCCACGCAACGCCGCTAACGAAAACACAACGGCGGCAAAGTCAACATCGTACGGTCTCGGGCGCGCCTCCCGAACGACAAGGTCAGGGGGCACGGCGGTCTACCGTCGCAGCCGACCGAGCGGCCGTGGCGCGGCGGGCGTCGGACGACCGACCAGCCGGGGCACGGCGCGAGCGTCGGACGACCGACCAGCCGGGGCACGGCGCGAGCGTCGGACGACCGACCAGCCGGGGCACGGCGCGAGCGTCGGACGACCGACCAGCCGGGGCACGGCGGGCTGGGGTTGTGCCGCGGTCACGCCCGTTCTGGGGTGGGCACTAGCTGTCTTGACCGCGACGCTCGTTCTACAAAATGAGGGCCGTGCTGTGTTGACTGCAGGCCGTTCTCTGATGAAGCCCGTTCTCAGGCAGGCGTTGCCGTGGATGACGCTTGTTCCGA